ACGTGTGTGGTGATGGATTGTAATTAGTCTTTGGGTGGTGAATATGATGTAACCTACACAGAAATAAAAATATAATGATGTACACCTGAAATTTATCTGTCATAAACCAATGTTATCACAATAAATAAAATCAGTACACTAGCAAAAAATAACAAATTAATTTTAAAGAAATGCTGTTAATTGTTAGATATAATCATGGTATTAAGGTTATAAAAGAAAATGTTATTTAGAGATACATATTAGAAGTATTTAGGAGTCAAATATCAAAGCAAATATAGCCAAATGTTAATTACTATTAAATCTTGGTGATGGATATATGAGGGTTCAAACTGTTTCCTCTGATTTCACATTCGAAAATTTTTCTAACAAAAACTTTGAGATACGTTAATGAAATCCTTAACTGAAGAAATATACCATGTTCTGAGATTGAAGAGCCAATATTGTAAAGATATCTACTCTATTCCATGCAGTCTTAGTCAAAAAGTGTAACAGGTTTTATTTTTTTTAATAGAACTTGATGAATTGACTCTATGATTTACATGCAATTGCAAAGGGTCAAGAACAGTCCAGATACTCTAAAGAAAAAGAATAAGGTAGGAGCGCTTGTTCTACCAGATTCCAAAGTTAAATGAAATAAGACAATGTAGTACTGGTACGCAGATTGACAAGTAGACCAGTGGTGCAGAACAGATTGCCCAGGGGAGAGAAATTCTGGAATGGCAGTATGAAGGGCTCATGGAAACCTTTCCTCCAGAGAGACATCTATTAAACTAGTAAATATTAGCAAAGGCAATCATTCCAAGTATCTAGAGATTCATCAAAAGACAACAAACTGAGAAGCGTTTATTCAGGAAAATCTAAGGAATCTTGCTAAGAACAGTGGGAACCATCGCATTGGGGCCAGAACCAGAGCCTGCACTGATCCCCCAGATCTGCCTTGCAGAAAGACCTGTTCCATTTGGGGTACAGAGGAAGCAACGTACCAACACACACACACGCACAGACACACATACTTTTGTACCCTACAACTAAAAAACATTTTTATTTTATATTGATGAAATCACTTTGAAAATCAATTCTGCACTTGACCACAGAGCAAACTTAAATCAACTTTAAAAAGCAGATATTTATCAAGGTTGCATTCTCAGGGCATAATCCAATAAATTTAGGAGCAATTTTAAAATGCCAAGCAAATCCTTAACTATTGGAAAACTACACAGTCTCCCTTGGATCAAAGAGAAAATAAAAGCAAATTGCAACCTAGAAATCAATGAAGAGGAGAATATTTCATGCCAAAATGGATAGGGTAACATTAAAGCTATAATTAGGGGAAAATATATAACTTTAAATGACTTTACTTAAGAAAAACTAAAAATAATGGAACCCAGTGCTACCTTTAATTAATAAATTAGGAAAAGAACAAAATTTAAAAGTAGAAAAATGATGCAAACTAAGGGTAAGTTTAAGTTAATGAAGAATGTTTAAAAAATTGACAGAAAAAAATATTAAAAAACAAAAGAAAGGATATATAAACCCAGTGTTATTTGAAAGTGTCAATAAAGTGAATAACCGCTTGAGAAACCTAATTAAAGGAAGAGAGAGCAATGGTTTGTTACTTAGTAAATGGTATAACTATTCCCCCAGGAAGCTGCCGTTGGACCCCCTACCTCACACCATCTAGAAACTATATTCCAGATGCTTTGAAGAGCTGCTGTTAGCCTAGGCAAAGCCTGTAATCTTCACCACTCTAACACACAGATTTATTTAGGTATTTCCACTACCCACTACTTCTATTATCTACAGAATAAAACCCTAACTTGTCATTTAAGGACGTCTGAAATTCTTGCCCATCAGCTAACATGCTTTCCATGCACATAAATCCACTTTGCTACTTGTCAAATTCTTAATCCTCTTCTCTCAGATTTTCCCTGACCCTCTGTGCACAACGCGTCACTCCTTCACCTGGTCTCCGACCTCATGCAGAGAGAGCCTATTACACAGGCACAAACAACTTGCCTTGCATGACAGTGGGCTTCAGGGCTCTCTCCCACTACCTGGGAAAAGGAAGGTACCACATCCAGCCAATTCCTTCCTCCCCATCCACATCCCAGGGCTGTGCACTCAGATTAAATGAATTCAATACAGCACTTACTGGTCAGGATGGACTAGCCATCTTTATTATTTTGAGAGTGTCAGTATATTCTTATTCCTGAAAGTCATCAGGGAACATTCATGACTTTATTTTGTGCGTTTCTTAGCTAACAACAAACCTAGATAGGACCTGAAGATTGTTTACTCTCTTCTTCTTTCTTTCTACACAGTGATGTACGCAAACCACTCTAGCAGTCAGAGATTTTAAAAGTTTCCAAAAGGTCCCACAGAAAATGAATTCTAGCATCTCTCAGTATTGTAGATATTGTCACACAAAGTTATCATATATGTGATGGCAATGGTCCCAGGTAGCAGAATTCAAGTCATAAATTCTTAACCAGATTGTTACTTTTCTGCTTTTTCAACTTAGTTTGATGGTTGAAAAAAGACCCCAAACCAAAAACTCAAACAGAAGAATAACTAGTAATCACATTTCATCCAGAATAGAAGGCTAGCCAAAGAAGACATCCCAAGGTGTTCTTCATATCTGAAAAGAAAGAAGCCAAATTAAAAAAAAAAAAGACAAAACATTTAATAGGTATTTGTCACAATTTCAGTACAAATTATCATTTCAAATAAACATTACAGGGTGCTATTAATTGCCAGTCACCTAATAAATAACTTTTGCAACTTTTCTTTCTGATGAAATTACTTCATTATAGAGCGAATGTTTTCATACATTACTTTGCTCACATTTATACGCATGTCAGGAGAATTTTAAGCGTCTGGAACTTCAACAACTTCAAACTTTTACAGGAATTGCTTGGGCGCATGTCCTAATTTCATTCATTTACTGGATCCAATTTAAAAAACAGGCAAGAAGTCTGAGAAGATGATGTTGTAAAAGGGAATATAATTGGGGTCAGAGAGACAATGTTGAATTGCAAAGCACTGTGCCCAAAACACTGCAGTGAAGCGTAACGTCTTACAGAACAGTCGCGAAATAAACCGCAAGGTCACCAAAGAAAGGCCCGCGTGGGAACATCAAAGACAGACTAAAAATAAAAAACCACAGAATGAAATCCCCAGGAAGGCAGCTGCTTATTGTCAAGATCATTCCACCAACTCTGCTGTTAACCTCGGAAACCTACAACGATTAAGCACTGATTTAAAGAATAAATAAGGCAATTCCAATTCTTTGTTTTTTAAATAGAACCTTGGTGTGAGAACCTTACATGTTATCAACTCAAAATCCAGTCTATGTCGTTCACTAAATTTGAACATCCATCATCAAATAATGTTGGTTCAATTCTTGTTAAACTACTTGTAATTTTTCTTATGACCTGCCTCAACTTTGTGTGTTAAATATTCACTGTTGGATTCTTAAAAGCTACTTGTGTGATGAGCACTTGTCTTTATTGAAATTCTGTTCTCTGTACCATTTATGTGCTATTTGCTTTCTAGAACAAAGAAGCAAGCTGGAAAATTAGGCCTAGTCCCAGCATGGCAAGCAACTTCTATGGTACTTATGTTTCTCTGCTCTTCTGACTGGTGGTTACATAATATCTGCTTTTAAATTCACCTCCTTTTTGGTGGGATAAGAGGTTACAGATAAAAGAGCCTTTGAATTCAGAAATCTTTGCTTCCACTCCCAATTGTACCCTTAGTAGCAATGTGAACCCTGTCAAATTATTTAACTTCTCTGAGCCTATTATCCATCTCGCTTTCTTTCTCCCCCAAACTCTTTCAAGGATCACGTTGTTTACCTCTCACATTTGTTAGACAGATAACAATGATATAAAGTACGTAAGTGCTACAGAAGGGGCCTTAATCAGCTAAGGCCGGAAACACCATCTTTTAGGACCAGTCAACTACATGTATTATGTATTTATCTTTATGGGTCACTAACACCTTTTTCTGTTATCTGTTTTCAGATGAAATGAGATAAATGTTGTAGTTGTGTTTTTGTTGTGAGTGCCAGATTTAAATACTCTGCAGTGTATCATGACAGTGGCAATGAGAAACAATTCTGAAATCCCAGAGGTCTGATTGGTCAAAAGAAAGTGGTCCCCACCCCCCAACCCCCCAGGTGAGATGCTTATTGCCATCCCAACTACTGGCATTTAGTACAGGAATTCCCCGGTCACATTAGGGACAACACAGAATCACTGCTCTATGATTCTATGATGTGAAAGACTCCTAAATACACTATGTGGCAAAGTAAGCTTCTGCCAGTGAGTTTCTTTTTTTTTTTTTTAAAGATTTTATTTTTCCTTTTTCTCCCCAAAGCCCCCCAGTACATAGTTGTGTATTTTTAGTTGCGGGTCTTTCTAGTTGTGGCATGTGGGATGCCACCTCAGCGTGGCCTGATGAGCGGTGCCATGTCCGCGCCCAGGATTCGAACTGGCGAAACCCCGGGCCGCCGAAGCAGAGCACGTGAACTTAACTACTTGGCCACAGGGCCAGCCCCCAGTGCCTTTCTTATTCGCAAAAATATATCTGCTCCAAATGCATTCTAGACCTTATGACAATATTTTAAGAATGTAAAACAGTATGGTGATGTCTTTTTAAGTGATCTAAGAGGCAAGAAATGGTGTTGGAAATGTACAGGAAAAATGTATATGCAAAAAATAAACCTAATAAACACATAGATGAGCAAACCCCAGAAATGCTGCCCTGGGGTGTCTTATAGCTAGGGACATGTGGTACGTTCCTTCCTGAAGCTACAGCCTGGCAGACCAGGCTAAACTAAATATTCTTCATACTATAATGATGAGGATCAATATCATGTGCCAGCATGAGTTTTCACATTTCCTGGTTTTACTAGGTACGCAATAAAGAATCCAGGAGGTTGTGTTTAACAGGGAACAGATAGTGTGCAAAAATTGGTTCAAGTAGCACACCAGGGCTCAGGACGATAGCAATTTATGGGGCATGCAATGTCTAAGACGTGGTACAGGAGTCTTTCCCCAGTTTAAGCTCAGGTTAAGCTAATGGTATGTACTTCAGAACCAGAACAGTGTAAGACACCATCTCCCACAGGATCACACGTAATCAAGATTCATCTACATGTGCGTAAGTCAACAAGGGCTCATGGGAACGTACAGTCTAGTCATTGCTTGATCTATGGGCTGCTTCCCACTCTGACTTTTTAAGCCGGTGTCAGCGGGCCACGTACAGCTCTTAATGGCCCCGACCACCTTTCAGTCTAATCCTTACTTTATGCATCAAGCCTTAGGTGGTTCGCCAGAAAGTTACTTCAAATCTGTAAAGTACAAATAAAATTTTAAAAACACCACATACACACATAAATTGAACAACCATCAATAGGAGAGAGCTTCTTGGGCATTACCGGCCAGACTCTGTCTCCTAAAATCCATACAGTGAACCTAACCAGCGGTTTCCCACACCCCTGAGAGGACACTTCAAACGCACAAGTCTGGAATAAAGCATATCTTGGTGGCTGAATAATCATCTTATTCAATAAGAGACACAAGGTTTGTAAACTACACAAGAGGGACAGAAGTACAAATGTTTTTTCAATGTGCCTTTAAATAGATGTCTCTTTTGACTCTGGGCTTTTCCCTGTAAAGTGATGCCTAAGGGAAGGAGGCACACGTTCCAAGGAAGTGGGGGTCAAGGTTTCCCACTCATGTTTTCGCCAGTGGGTCAAACACCTGTAGCACCGTCCTCTTGTCCTTGTCACTGACCGTCACCCAGTGACCGAAGTCTTTTTGCCTGTGCTCCGCTGGCGGCTCCTCGGCAGCTGAGGCGCTGACATGGGGTGGGGCTGTGTGCGCCCTTCCAAGGTTCGTGGTCCCCGTGTCCAGGCGGTTAGAGCTCTTGGAAAGCCAGGCATTATTCAGCAGCTTAGGGTGTTGGAGAAGGCTCCAGAAGGGATCCTGATGGTCATCCAGAAGGGAGGCTGCCTCTGACTTCAGCTCTTTGGGGCCATCAGTTTCTGGGCTTGCAGCAGATGAAGTGCCAAGAAAAGCTGGTTGTGGAAGGAGGGCACCCCCGTCAGGCTGGCGTGCAGGGGGACAGTCACTGCTGGGGCTACTGCTGCAGGTGAGGCCCTGGAGAAGCTGGCTGTTGCTCTGCAGAACCTGCAGATTGAAGGTGGCGGGGGCTGACTTCTTCCTCCTTGGGGGGACCTGGGGCACGAGAGGTGGAACCTGCAGAGGGGGTGGCATGGTGGCTCCAGCCACCGGAGGGGCATTGTTGGGCACTGGCTTCCCGCCACTTGGCCTCCTCTCCACACCTTTCCCAGGCTGAAGTGTTCTTGGTTTGGGAACAGGTGGGACTGTCGTTAGAGGAGGAGTTTCAAGGCTCGTCTCCGGGGGCCCGATTGTAAAATGGGCAGTCTGTTGTCCAAAGTTTTCTTCCGGTGACGTGGGCTGAGAAAAAGCACAACAAAGAGTGTAAATAAGAAGCCAGCCCCAGAGGTGGGGTTGGGAATCAGAGAGCATCAGTCTCGGTGAGGGAGCAAAGAGGGGGCTAAGCTGACATTCTAGCAAATTCAAGATTTGAGAATGTCCGGGATGCGGACATGTGGCTGGGTCTGAAAGAGCACAAGAGAGACACACACACATTTATCAAGTGCCAGCAGGTCCAATGAAATATGAGTGACAACTTTAAAACCGGGGCTTCAGTGAATAATTTGAGACAAGTTTTTCTTTGTTACCTTAGGAAATGGGGTTCTGCTCTTTATTAAAATTGAACCTCTCTGAAAACTCTGTCCTTTGAGGCCGAAGCTTTGATAATTCAGTCTGCACCGTGCATGGCTGAAGAAACTGATCGCGCAGCAAGAAGCTAACAGAAGAACTAATGGATTTACTTGCTCCTTGAATCTTTGATATTTAAATATAGAAGAATGGAAAATTTCACGCCAGAACTTTACTTCCTTGGTTCCAATTCAAAAATATCACAAAGAAAACAATTGCAGAGCGCAAAAGAGCTGGCTCCATTTCTTTCTTCAAAAAGAAATGGCCCTCCCCTAGCTCAAGCTTCGGCATTTCAGGATTTCCTTTGGTTCTTTAGGAAACAAACGGAAAACAATCCCTTCCCCGACAGCCTTTGACTGTAACTCCTATGCAGCCGGTTGGGAAAATGAATCCATTTCTGCCCCTGGCTTTTAAAAGAAAAGACAAAGTCGGAGGAGAGAGGCCTGTTTTGCAAGGAGGAATGGAAAATGGACAGATGCAACGAGCAAAAGAGGGACAAGCAACCCAGAAAACACAAAGCAAGCTCTGGAAGGACGGCGCACCAAAGGCACGGCTCACGTTCTCTACAGGTAGAGAAACAGCAGGCATTCTGCAAATGACCAGCCAGGCATTACCGAGAGTCCCGTTACAAGAACACCGAGATCAAACGGAAGATCCAGATGTCTCTATGGGTGCCAGTCTTTGGGCTGCTACTGTCCTGACAAACTCATGTCTTTGAAGCAGCAAGCAAGGCTGAGAAGCTTGAGAGCGAGAGCAGAACACAATCTGCAAGAAAAGTGGCACGAGAAGCTGTCGACCCTCCAGAAGCCGAGCTGCGCAAGGGCTTGTCAACACAGCTAACGGCGGAATCCGTTGTTGCCTTTCTTTTTTGCTTTTTAAAAAACAGTATTGAAAAGATATTATGTAACAACACTTTAGACGGAAACACAGCTACAAATGAAGCATAAACGGTCACAAAATGAATACAAAGTTTCATTTTCGTTAATTGTTTTCTGGATCTTGTCCACATGAAAGAACCAAAACAAATATTTTTACTTAGTTATCATCATGCTGAAACACTCCTTTACCACATTATCTGAAACGGTTGTCCACGTTTGCACAGAGCTCCCTTAAGAGCTTGTAGAAAGGGGCGGAGAGCGTGGCGGGGTGGGTGAGGGGGCTATCGGGCTGGTCCACAAGGCAGCGTCCAGAGCAGGGCTCCAGGGACAGAGCCCTTGCATCAAGGCAAATAAAATCTGTACATGTGAAACCACGTGCCCACAACACAGACCACACACAAATGGGAAGTGTGGAACATTTGGAATAAAGCATCCCATGGTGGTTCGATTTGGGGACTCCAACAGAACATTCGGGAGGCATGATACCTCCAAGCTGTTCCCATCACGGTGAGAAACTCCTGGTTTTTCTGCTCAGCTAGAGACAAGATGCAGCAGGAATACGAAGGGGAAAGCGCTTGCCAAGCATGTTCCTCAAGGATGCGTATTCATGAATGCGTATGCAGAGACCAGGCTCAATGGAGACATTATCTAACGAGACATTCGAGCAACTTAGGACAAGGGGCTTCCACTACCAGGTTCTTACCTTTCCTGTCCTCCTCAAGGTTGGCTTCTTGATGGCAGGAACTCTGGGTGCTGGCCGACGGGGCAGGAGTGGGGCCACCCCCGCTGTGGGCTCTGGTTTGGAAGACCCTTGGTCCCTTGGGGCCATGGCATTTAGGGCTTCTCCCGGGGTGCCTGAAACACACGATTGCATGGCTGACGTGTACAGGTCAAGGCAATTCGCTGCATGAGTTAATCTTTAGGCGGTCTACATTCTAAGGATAATTTACTGATGCACTTTATTTCCTTTTTTCTAAAAAAAAATCTTTGACAGTTGTCAGGACCAATCAGCTAGGTTTGGCCCCAGCTTCTCATGCTCAGCTTCTCACCAGGGATGTGATCTGGGGTCCGTGGGCGGTCCTGATGGGCTTCAGTGAGGCCCTGACATCACATGCACGGTTTTATGTGTATTTCTCAGAGGAGATGATCCAAAATGCCTCAAAATCGCAGCAGGGCCCAGGACCAAGAAAACATTAAGTTGGGACCCTGGGTATATTTCAAACCTCAAACCTCTCCTAACCTCTCCATCTATAGATTTTTCTTTTTAAATCGCTTTATTGAAATAATTCACATACCATAAAACTCCCCCTTTTTAAGGATACGATTTGGTGGGTTTTAGTATATTCACAAAGTTGTGTGCCCATCACCACTATCCAGTTCCAGAACAACTTTACCACCCTAAAAAGAAACCCCACACATATGCATAGCCGTCACTCCCCATTCCCTCCTCTGTCCAGCCCCTGGAAACCACGAATAACTTTCTGTCTGTATGGATCTGCCACTTCCAGACACCTCGTATAAATGAAATCATATAATGTGTGGCCTTTCGTGTTCGGCTTCTTTTACTTAGCATACTATTTCTGAGATTCACCCATGATACAGCATGTATTAGTACTCCTTTTTACAGCTGAATAATATTCCATTGTATGGATACACCATTCATCAGTTGATGGACACTTCGGTTGTTACATCCATATAATTTTAGTTATTTCTTTTTAAATATTAAAAAAAAACACTTGTGACTGTGTTATCCTACAACAGAGTTTTGCAACCTCTTAATTTATGTCCCCCTTAAATGTTATTTGGGAATTCCAAATAAGTTAAATATCCAGACTAAAAGCAAATCAGGCAATTGTAATTGCATATGGCTTTTCAGAGGGCTTAATCTCCCCACTCCAAACCAAAACAAAAAACCCCTTGGGGCTGGCCCCGTCCATGGCCGAGTGGTTAAGTTCAAGCGCTCTGCTTCAGCGGCCCGGGGTTTCGCCAGTTCGAATCCTGGACATGAACATGGTGCCGCTCGTCAGGCCACGCTGAGGAGGCATCCCACATGCCACAAGTGGAAGGACCCACAACTAAAAATACACAACTATGTACCAGGGGACTTTGGGATAAAAAGGAAAAATTTTAAAAATAAATAAATAAAATAAAATTCTCAGCAGTTTAGAAATCTAGGGTGTTTTAAAAACAAAACGAAACAAAACAAAAACCCCCCAAAAACGTTAGTGACCAGGGATTTGAATGCATGGGGGAGATTCCAAGTTAAAAGATGGTCAACACAGGTTAGACAGAGTAACAGCAGCAAAAACGATCAGGCAGTGTGGCAGAGAAGAGATCCCTGGCTGCCAGTAAGGAATCTACAGTTGCTGCTGGATCTAAAAAGTAGATTTTGGGGGCTGGCCCCGAGGCCAAGTGGTTAAGTTTGTACGCTCTGCTTTGGCAGTCCCGGGTTTTGCCAGTTCAGATCCTGGGCGCAGACCAGGCACCACTCATCAAGCCATGCTGAGGTGGTATCCCAGGTGCCACAACTAGAAGGACCCACAATTAAAATATACAACTATGTATTGGGGGGCTTTGGGGAGAAGAAGGAAAAATTAAAAATCTTTTTCTTAAAAAAAAAAAGGAGATTTTATGCCTGAATTCGGACGCTATCTAACTATCTCTTTTTACAGAGCCAGCAGAATCTGTCAGAGCCCACATTAACCTCTTCTAAAATTCATTTTCATTTATTTCAGTCTCTCCCTTAAGTGCTGCTTAATAATCCTGGGATGATTTTTATATACTTACTACCTTTTAAATACATAATTTTAAATGGACAATAAATCTTAGTAGTGGAATTTTATAAAATGTTGCTGAAGGGTACTTTCATTTAATACTGGCTTCAGAAAAAAAAAAAAAAGTTACTTTTGTCTTCTAGGCCCCTTTTAGTAGGAAGATGAAATGACAAGGAGAGTCAGTTTTTCTCTCAACCCGGGGAGGAGAGCACCTACCTCCTCTGGCTTCCAGGAGACATCGGATTGCTGCTTCCGCCTCCTGAGCATTGGTGGTTTTGATCTGCTTGACGTTATAAGGTTTACTTATCCCAGTCCTAGCTTTGGGCTTGAGGACAGAATCGGGAAGAGAAGCGTATTAACACGGGTAGGAAACCAGACCGGCGCATTCACTGTCTACTGATCTGTAGGTGAGCATGAGACTTACAAGCTCCATCAGAGAGTGATCAAAACACAAACTCCAGCCTGAACCCCATCCCCCAAGCCTCTCCTTCCCCCAGGAGCACTCTCCCACCGAGAAGAGGAATGCAACAATATTTAGAGCAGATGACCTTTGTCTCCCAAACCGGGTGGTTACAGGATTTCGCAATGTGGATAAACTATCCTCTGTCTTTATTTCAGTAACCAGATAAAAGCCAGAAAGCATCATCAGAGGCCACTCTTTCCACAGCCCAGCTGAGGCATTCAAACACCTTGCACACGTATTTTCTCAAAGTGCGTTTTCTAGCTCTTAACTCAAACCTCTGGGTCGCCTCTGATGGTCAGCCTCCATCACCATGAACCGCCGACACCCAGTTAACTGCCTACTCCGGCCCTGAACGCCGGAGCCTCGGGCCTGGCCCAGCTCTCTGAACTCTCCCGGGACATATTAGCTTCCACCCAGCACCCAGCCCCACCGCCCTCCTCCTTGCCTCTACTCCATTCACTGTCACCCGCAGTCTTTACCAGCTCGCTGTCATCCTCTGGAACTCTCCACCTCCAAAATCCTACAGCTCTGTCTTACTAGTGTTCCCCTACTGCGTTATTTAGCCCTGTTAGAACTCTTTTTGGCCTCTTTGCTTAACTAACTCTGTGCCAGAACAATCAGCATTTCGTCAAGACAACTGATCTGAACTTCTCCTGTTTGCCCGTCTACCAACCACCGTAGAGTACACACCAAGGTCAAAGCCGAGCGTCGGGAGAAGGAGAAGCAGGTGAGCCTGGAAACCAACAGTCCCGCCACGCAGGCACATGGGATTTTTCATCAAACATGATTTTCTCTCTAACGTCCTAAAGGACCACTTAAAAGCCCTATAAAGGACCTGCTACTAAGTGACGGGGTTTGGGGATGAGCTGGCAGGTGGGCAGACAGTTAGAGAGATAAAATCTATGTATTCACAGAAAAGAGGTGATCTTGCATGATCTTAGGAACTGAGGATGCACGACAAGGTAAACCCCTGGGTCTGAAATACTGGCCCGTTTCTCTTTGAGCTGAATACAGAACTCACTGCTTGCTGTGGTGCTCCCGGGAGAAGTTTTGCTGTCTGCAAAATCGAATACTGCCCGTGGGTGCCAGAGGAGATGGACACATCCGAAGCCGACTTTTTCACCATTAAACCAGCTGCGAAAACCAACAAGGACAGAGTGTGGGTCTCAGTGAAGTCACCGGCTGCTTCAAGGCACATTCCCAGGCAGCTGAGAGCAAGGCCAACGGCAGACGCATGCGGGTGAGAGCGCGTACGCGGCCCTGGGGCATCCACAGAGCCAAGCTTAAGTCCTCTTTCGACTGTCCATCAGCTTCTGCTGCGAATGCAGATTCTCTGGAGAAGCTTTATTTGAATGCAAATTTTAATCTAACATTCTAGGGGGGATTTAAATCAGATATAAAACTCAACTCATTTTTAAGGGGTTTAAAATGCACTACTGTTACTAGGACCAAATTTTAGAAACGGTTAGTGGGCAAAAATCTAAAAAATTCCAAAGCAGGGGAATAAACCCTATTAAATCATACTTGCAGCCATTAACGAATTGTGTTTTAGAACAAGATTTAACGACTCATTAAATGAAAGACAAATGACCAAACAAAATGGCTATCAATTTTGTTTAAAAAAAAAAAAGTAAAGAAAAAATTGTGTGTATGTTTAAAAAGTCACGTGCTTCTCGCTTGCCATAGATTTCTACTGTGAAGTAAGCCAAGGTGAACCTAATTCTGAAAGTAAAGCCTCAGAAAAATCTAGATATCTGATTACCACATTTTGGGGGGAGGAGTGTTGGAGAAGTCAACAGTAGAGGTCAAAGAGAAACTGATCAAAAGCACGTCACAACTTTATTTTCAGGTAATTAAGGAAAGTTTGATGGGCAAAGCACTGTCTTTTTGAGGAGTCAGGAGGAAAAGCACTACCCTGTGAGGCCTGAGCTGGGAAGAACTTGTCCTCAAGTTGAAGAATGCCAGGAGCCTGCAGGCATGGGCGCACAGCTGGGATGGCGCCTGGTTAGAGGCTGGCATGCCATCACCCTGGGCTTACTTGAGTCCTAACAAGCAAGGAGAGGGCGGGCAGCAGTCAAGGAGAGAAGATTCTGAAAGATATTGCAGGGGGTCGGGGAGGAAGGAGCTAAAAAAGTCGCTGGCTCACCCGCGGCCCCAATATTCCATCCTATAAGGTTTCAAACTAAAATCCGCTTAAAGCTACACAGCTACAGGACGACGAAGAACAGCTTTATGAAGGAATCGTTCAACCTGCCACGAGACGCACAGCTGTCTCTGCTCTCAAGCGTGTCGTGGCTCTAAGACAAAAAGGAGCCCAAGGAAGGGGAAAAGCATTGTGGGGACTCAAAGCCTAGAGAGAAGTGGATTTCGAGCCATCTGTTCGGTAGCAGGAAAGGCACAGTGATTCCCAGCAGGCATCGTGGTAAGCCAAGAGCAAGCAAAGTCTTACTTGGAGGGGGCGGTCTCTGCGGTGGGTGAGGTGGCCGAGGCCTACTGGGCACCGACAGAGACCTGCTTGGAGAGCGGTGGTGCGAATCCCCAACTGCTTCCAGCTCCTGCTTTAACTCCGCCAGGTCAGCATCATCTGGAGGGCATGGCGGAAGGTGAGTGAGGCGAGTCAGGGGCCGCCCTCAGGCCTGCACAGAGCCGACTGCGGCAGGAGGAGCTCCCGCAGGACAGCGGAGGCGTGTCCCTTTCTGCGGGCACGGGAGGGAGGGGGGCATCCAATGCCTGCTTGGAATACGCAGCGAACCGTGGACAAGGTTTGCTGTCCAGACATGAGAGACACTGACATCGTGTTTAAAAGCGTCGGTGTGTCTCCTTGGAAATAATCCACGAGATTTCCACATAGAGGAGAGGAGACAGTTGGAAACCAGAGTGCCTCATTGGTAATTCCTCACTCCAAAACATGACAACTGTTTGGGAAGCTCACTCGCTGCCAGCAGGGCAGCCTGGCGTCCAGCCACAAGCTCCTCGTATGAGGTGTCCCTGCTTCCTCCTCAAGTCCCACAGATGGCAGCCATCGCCGGCTACTTCACCAGTGTTCGCCATCCTGCCTCGTCCTGCGGAAACCTTCGAAGGCTAAGAGCGGTAGGAAGAGGCGACTGCTTCTGTTTTATTACAGAAATATTGCATTGAAATTCAGGACAATTTTAGGTCTCCTCTCCCACACTACAACACAGCCCGATTCATTTCATTTTGGCTCAGACGCTCATCCTTCAAATCCAAGCGCTCAACCCCATGTATCTTCGAGGTTGAGCTGGGGAGAAGCAGGACTTCTCCTAATGGGAATGCCTGAGCACCCCACAGGGTGTTTATATCTCCTCGATGCCCACCGGGTGGCCAGGCTGCCCGCACAGCCCCAGGTGGTTCCATTCTTCTTTCAAAGAGGCACTGCTCTCACATCTGCCCTCCCCTCCAGGGGCTGCCTGAAGGACGGCCACCCCAGGGAAGAGGGCCGCCTCTTGTCTAAAGAACACATCCCTTCGGCTGCGACCACGCCAGGGCAGGAGCACTTCGGGTGAGCAGCGTGCAGAACCACGTTGACTGCTGGTGAAGGCTGCTGGTCCTGTATGGGGCAGCAGCCCCCAAACCTGGCTGTGCATCCCAATCGTCTGGGGAGATTCACAACATGCCAGGTTTCCCAGATCCCAGCCCACCCCTGGCTAAAGCACATCTCTATGATGGGGCTCGGCAGCCTGTAAGTTTGACAGCTCCTGATGGTTCCATGCAGCTGGGCTATGGACCAGCTTTGGGACACTAGACAAAGGGGCTTGGGGGACTTTGCACCCCTCCCAGCAAAGCACCTTCCCTGGGAAGCATCTTAATTCACTTTCACTCCTGTCCTCTGTTTTCAGGCTCAGCTCAAAGGGTCCTGGCACACGGCTAAGCTCCTACACCTGCTGGGTACAGCTTTCTTCCAGGGGGGGACACACAGCTGGACCAACAGCTGGAAGGCATTCGTGGCTGTGGACGGAGCTGTGCCGCAGGAGTCTGATGCTGAGATATGAACTAGCCTGCTTTCCAGCCCACGTGACGCTTCCGTTCCGTAAGTTCTAAAACTTACTCAAAAAAGAGTGATTATACCATTTAATCTAGGGACCTGCAGTTCAATCCACTGACTTTCAGCCCTGCTTAAGTCTAAAATGATACAATGATGCTAATGTATAATATTACTCTATCATAATATAAGGATGTAACAATGCACCAAGGCAGGACAGAGATATTGAACATGTCTCTTAAGAGATTGAATCAGAAAAGTTTTAGAGAAGGAAAAAAAACCCCACAATTGTAAAACCGGTTCAGAGCTGTGGTCATCCCAATCACAGAGCAAACAGGAATCATTATGAATCTGGTGTGTCATACGGGTACCAGGTGTAGAAAAATACAAATCACTAGAGAAATCAGTGTGATGGCAGCTGGATTCATAGTAAACTTATTTTAGCCTTTTCATGGGACGTGCACACTTGATTGACGGCACGATGCAGCCGCTGCCGAGAAAGAGAGGGAGCTCAACGCCAAGGCTACTTAGAAAAGGAAGGTCCAAGCTACCTTTGTAGGTCGGATGCTGCTTCTTTTTGACGAGTGCAGGTGACTTGCTGGGAGGTGCCGCTGCTGTGGAGCTGGGGGTATCGGAAATGTCGTCTCCCCCCAGTTCACCGTCTGAGACCACAGGCTGCCCCAGCTCCTCCACCAAATAGTCTTCATCATCTTCGAGAATATCCCCTGGAGAAGGAAATGAGTCACAGCCAACAATCAGGGTGAAACGGCATAGCCTTTCATGGGTGTGTCTGAGTCAACATCAAGGCCCGTGGCTCATGTCAGGACACCTGCGACATAGCTGCCAGCAGCCCACGGGCACCCACGTGTCAGCAGGGACGGGACCCCAATTCCATTCATGCCTGAGACATGGGACGGAGCTGCAGCCCTGACATCCTCAAAACCACTTATCCAATGTAATTTTAGACGTCTCTAGGTCCCATTTACCATTTCATGCATCCTCCCTGCACATTTCAAGTTCCCTGTCTAACCTCCACGAGGCAGGGTTCCAGAAGGAATCTTGAAAATCTCACGCCTGCTCCTGGGAGAACTTCCTGCCCGCCCGCCTTGCCGTCCCGACTGAGAAGTCCTCACAGGGGTACGTACCTTCTGAGTCATAGTCCAAACTTGTGAAGTCGAAGTTCTCCTCCAGCAGACAGGAGTTGGCAGTGGGAGACATGGAGACCAGGCTGTCCCGCTTTCGGACGATCTCCTCCTGCAAACCTTTCAGCCAGTCCTTGGTCTTCGGTCTGATCTGCACGGCTCTGCCTTTCACCTGTGAGGACAGAGCGGCCGTCCGAGAAGGAGCGCAGACGTCAGAACAACTCCCTTTGATCCCACAGTGCATCTCGTGCAAGTTCACGCAGGGGGGGCCAGGCCAGTCTTCGTGTTTCCCCAAGAAAAAGGGAGGGTCTAGAGCTCAGGCAGGCTCAGCACAGCTCACAATTATTTGGTCTAAATAAAGCTGAATTATCATCTCTGGCTTTTCATTCCATGTGAATTTAAAACCAGAATATTATCAACATAGAAGCTACCTATAAGCTGCATATTCCAAAATATATACTCTAAAGAGAATGATGGCAACACCCTCCCACGTGGAGGTGGGAGCAAAGACAGACTCAGTAACTCAGTGGGAACTAAGTTTTAACTTGCTCTTTCTCTCAAATTCTGCAAGTGGCCAGGGCTGGACATTAGATACCTCAACGAAGATACCAGAATTAGATATGAGAATGAGGAGTCCTAGCTGCTGCCCGAATGTGGCACCTACACCCAAAGACACAGGTGAGGAGAGGGGACGACACGACCACATGACAGCACACGCAAACCACAGGGATTAAGCAGCTCTCGCTCCACGAGTGACCAAGCATGACCCACCTTCATACCATCCACATCCAGGACGCTGAGAGCCGAGTGACCGTCTGCAAAAGTCACCAGCATCTGCCCTTGGTTGATCCTGGAATAGAGGAGATGCGCCAAGTCAACCCCCAGTGCGACTCGGCAGCTCTCAATTCTCGAGGATATGCACACCCAGGGCCACGCCAGCCAGGCCAGGAGCTACCTGACAAGGACGATTGTCCCATAATTCCCCAAGGTCTCCATGAGCTCGATGCGCACGTCCTCAGGAAACTCGTTTTTCTCTTCTAAGGTTGGCGACTGAAGGTTGACTACGACGGTGGCGTCCAGGGGACCCTGGAAAGAGGACACTTCCTGGAACACCCTCTCCCGAGCACCCACATCGACTTCTTGTACTTCCACCTCCACGATCGCCAGCACGGGTCTGCATTAGACACGAAGGGAAGATGGGAAAAGTTAACCCGGGACAAGAGCCACAGGGCCCTCAGCCCCAGTCCCCAGAGCTCCGCTGTAAACTCTCCACATCGATTGCCTGTCAGTGTGGCCCCCAGCACGGGCCCCTGCAGCCTGGCTGGTCTGTCCTAGCGTTTCAGTGTTTATTGTTGCCCAATCTTTGTGCTATCTTGGCATTTTTATCTAAGGATGATTTGAGAGAAAACAGTACCAACCATTAGCAAAGATTTTTTAAATGGTAATCGCCAGCATTGCCAAGGATTGCCAAGGATGTAGAGAAGTGGGAATTTCCCCCTTTGCTAGGGGGTCAAGCTTTTCGGAGGGCAATTTGGCAATTTGTGTTAAAAACGTTCACCTCGTTTGACCTACTAATCTCAATTCTAGGACTCTGTTCTAAGAAAATGGCCAGAGATTCAGACAAACATTTAAACACACGGTTGATCATTGCAGCACTGTTGATGGGAGGGAAAAAAGGAGAAACAATCTAACTGTTCCATAATAGGGACAGAGGTTAGGGTGCAGCCGCATGGTAACACACTATGAAATCATTAAGAATAACATTGTAGAAATCTATTTGACATACACCGGAAAACAAATCAGCAGGGAATAATGCAATCATTACTGTAATTCTGATATAGGAATGGTTTTACTCTTTACAAAATTTAGAAAATCCTTTATTATGAAGTTTATGTAAGCTTATTAAAGACCTTTACAATACAATGTTAAGTGGAAGCAAACATAAGACAAAATAGTACATAATATGGTGACAACCTTTAAAACTAGGGAACGCTACAAAAATTAAGACGTGGGTGATACTATCAGTATTATTCCTCCAACAAATTTATATTATTATTGTTAGATTTTTTTGCATTTTCTAGAGAAGCAAGAAAAAAGAAGATTGAGAAAAATATGACACAAGGATATACACTAAGTGAGTGTTTTAAAAAATGTGTGGCATGGTGCCGGCCCTGTGGCAAGTGGTTAAGTTTGCACGCTCTGCTTTGGCGGCCCAGGGTCTCACCAGTTTGGATCCTGGGCACGGACCTAGCACCGCTCATCAGGCCATGCTGAGGCGGCGTCCCACACAGCACAACCAGAAGGACCTACAACTAGAATATACAACTATGTACTTGGGGGCTTTGGGGAGAAGAAAATAATTAATTAATTAAAAAATAAATAAATAAGAAATAAAAACTTGTGGCAGAAAAACTCTTCAGAGAAGCCCCATGTGAAGAAGAGAAGAAGGAACATCTCTCGTGAAAGGAAAAGCAGGCAGCTTTATCCACTCAGCAATAAAAAGGAACAAGCTATTGATACATGTAACCACTGGATGAATCGCCAGAGGATTATGCTGGCTGAAAAAAGCCAGTCTTCCAATTCCGATTCCATTTGTGTAACATTCTTGAAACGACAAAATTATGGAAGAGAGGAAAGATCAGTGGTTGACAGGAGTTAGGGAGCAAGGGAAATGAACATGGCTAGAAAAAGGCAACACGAGGCATCCTTGTGATGGAAATGTTCTATATCTCGACCATATATCAATGTCAATATCCTGGTTGTGCCATTATGTATCTATATTAGTACAGATTTACAGGATCTCACCATTGGGGGCAACTGGGTAAAGGGTCCATGGGATCTCTATTATTCCTTACAACGGCATGTAAATCTACAATTATCTCAAAATAAAAACTTTAATTTAAAAAATATTAATGGAGTAAGTTGAAGAGCAAATGTGATGACAGCTCACATCATATAATCCTAATTTTCTTAGACACATTTATACATCTATAAGTACGTGTGCACATGTTCACAAACCACACACAGGTTAACATTTTGGTGTAACATCTTCTAACATACATGGAAAATGCAGCGGAAAGACACGTAACACATCATTACTAGATTTCGTCTCAGAGGGTGAGACTATGGATGACTTATTTGTTTATTTTTCCCTAATTTTCCCCAAGATGTTCTGCTTTTATAATGAGAAAAATCAATAAATATCTAAGTGTCAAACCAGATCTGCACCTGCCAGGCTTCGCAGTTGAGTAACCTCTACTCCATCCTTCCAGTTGCTCAGGTCCAAATCCCTGCAGCCATCCTCAGCTCCTCTCTCTCTCTCTCTCTCTCCCCACATCCAATCCATCAGCCAATTCTGTTGGCTCCGCTTTCAAAATCCATCCAGAACCCAACCACTTCTCGCCACAGTGACCCACGACCACGGTGGTCTAAAGCCGGCGCCATTTCTTCCCTCGCTTCCTGCACTAGCCTCCACCTGGCCCCATCGGAGTCCCTTCGGGTGAGTCTGTTAACACCTCGTCAGAGAACACCGCTCCTCAGCTCAGAGTAAAATCCACCGTCCCAGTTATGGCCCACAGGGGTCCATCCAGTCTGCGTTCCATGCGCATCTCACCTCATCTCCTTGTGACCTTCCCTCACTCTTTTCACTTCAGCCTCTCTATTCTCCAGACTCCTGGATCTTCACTGCCATGCTCCCCACCCTGAACACTCTCTACCTGATATCCACATGGCTCACACTCTCATTTTCTTCAGGTCTCGGCTCCAAGGCCATCTTATCAGAGAGGCCTTCCAGGATCACTGGGTATAAAATAGCACCAACCCCTTGTCTGACCTCTGCTACTACTTTGTTTCTTTCACAACACTTATATCTGGTTACTGTCCATCTGTGCTCACTAGAAAATTCCATGAGAGCATGATCTCGTCTGTTTTGCTCACTGCTTATCATCAGTGCCAGGAACAAGGCCTCGTCTATATGGCCCCTTAATAAATATTGGTTAAATGAATGCTTCTAAACATACTCACTGAACCAGCAAACCCAAAAGTCACCTGAAGATTTCCACAGCTCATTTCTAGGTATGTATTTGCAACAACAGGTTTCTAAAGAATTTAGAAGTATCTAAAGATATAGACCTACTGGCTGACCAGCCATTCACCACCAACCCTCTTTCTTCATTTCTTTCCTGGTCAAAGTTGAGACTGACATGCTAGCTTTGGTAGCAGCTGTGGAAGATCAAACTCTTCCTACCTACACCCTCCCTCGCCATTTCCATCTCCTCAAAGATGTTCTACCAGGTAAGCTCCCCGTTCGCTGGTCCTAGCGCACTCTGAGTGGACAGACCTCGGCTGCTTGTGTTCCATCCTTAACGCATGACACACAAGGCCAAGCCACCAGCTCAGAGCATGTGAAAACCCGGACTCCAACACTTCAAAACCCTATGGTATTTGTAATAAGAAAATATTAGGAAAAATATTCATCAGTAGGTGAATGGGTAAATTCCATGTATATATTTAGTGGAATACTGGAATGCCATAATACCAACCTGATTGTATCTCAAAAATATTAAGGAACGAAAAAGCAAGTTGTACAATGACATCCTTTATGAGAATTTAAATGACATAGAATACTATAGGCCGTGTCTTTGAAATTTTCACAAACGATGTCATTTCTGATACAGAGCAATGACAAAATGCTAGCACTGGTTAATTCTTGGTGGTGGGTACCCAGCTATTTGTCATCTTATCCCTCGTTCTTTGCTGTATTTTACACACGCATTCAGACGGGGCCAGCATGCCCGTCCTCCGCGTGGAGCACCAGATGCTGCCTTCCCCAGCAGAGGAGAAGGTGCCCACGGCAGCGAGGACATACCTGTGATCAGATGCTTGTAGCTCCGCTCGGCCGTAATACTTGAGGGCGCCAGGAGACCAGGTGTGTCTGACTTTGGTGTCCGCGTCTAGATCGTTGTCTAGGAGGTTGAGTTCTCCAGCTACTCACCGGGATTCCAATCAAGAGACCCACAGACAACACAGGATGTTATCAACACACACGAATGCCGGTTACAAAGCTTCTACAACAGGGATCTATGTCACAGACCAGCACGTCTCAGACTCATTCACTCTAACCCTCTGGGCTTGAAATCATGCGAAAGCGGCTTTGGGTCTTGGGGTAAAAACTCCTGCCATGTAAATTATCCAAAACAGTAAGACCAGTGCTACCTACATCCTCCCCCGACAGGCAAACTGGGAGGGGACACAGAAATCGCTGCTGGGGGTTCCGCCCCAGGGGCACAGGAACACAGGAGATCTGCAGCACTTGGTCCAGCAGGAGATGCGGAGGCTAAGAACACGAAGACATCCCTGCCTCCCACTGCCCGGGGGCCACGCGGATGTCCACAAACTGAGCTGAAGGAAAACGTTTCTTTTCCATCTGCAGATGAGATGTCCTGGCTTTGAAATCTCAGCACACATCTCACCAGCAAAGTTTAGTTGTTCATGTACGAGTTTATAGGTGTTAGAATTTTAAATAAACTGCACTTCCTAGCTGGGCATCAATAATTGTTCAGAACATATTTGACAACTAATTGATTAAAAAAACCCTCTTATCTTTCCTGGGTCCTGCTCATGTTCGATATGAGCTTTAAGCAGCTAAGAGTTTGGTTGAACAAAACGGGCTGGATAAAGTGCACGAGTGTTGTGGGCGGAGGTGCTGGAGAGAAAGAGCGAGGCTTCGCTCCTCATTTCCCACCCAGAACAAAAGGCGGACGGGGTGGGGAGGGAGGGCAGCCGTGATACAGGAATGGGGACAGCCAGGAGCAGGACCAATTCCAGATCAGTCTCCAGAAAGAAGCCAGAAGGGAATTCCTCCAAAGCACAACCTGCAAAGCTCAGGGGCTAACATCTGGGATGACTTCTGCATAGTTCTGGGATATCAAGAAAATGTTATTTATGTAGCCAAGAGCGCTAGGCTGAATAAATGCAATCGTTTCTCTATGGTACTGATCATTCGCCCTCCAGCAGCTCCGAAAATACACACGCCTCACGCACCTGTTCGGTCAAAAGGATGCCTCCTCCTCCACCACAGGACCCTGTCTGTCCAGGCGGGGGTGCGGCATTTGTCACTTGTGTCGTAGGCGGCAGAGCCGACATCATACTTGTAGGTGGGTCCAAAATTAATGGCGCCTTCGTGAAAGTCTTTAAAAATCTATTGGGAGGAAAAGAAGTCAGAAGACCACCTCAGTTCTCCTTGATTCTGTGTTATATGCAAAAACAAAAAATGAAAAGGCACATACCAGAGTGCTCTACTCCTAAGAAGTAACAGGATCGACACTATGTTGGCAAACACGTCTTAAACCGAGTATATGTGTGCCTTTTAATTAGCAAAAAAGTGATGATTATCTATTTGTTCTGCCGCCTTACACATCACTGTTGGGTCTCCCTCCCACCTCTGGTACCCCATCTATGACACCGTCTGCTGGTCCGTGACCTAGAAGACAGGGCCCAGGCACGAGGCAAGGATGCACCCTGCAGGCCTCGGGCAGCGCCCGGCCCATACCTAGCAAGCCCTCAGTAGATATTTGTTAACTAAACAAATTGGGTAAAAAGAAGCCGAGAGCTAAAGTCAAACTCTCCTCTGTCTTCATTTAGCTCTGGATCCAGCCTTGATGCCATGGAAAGACCCAGAAACAGACGTTCACTCCCTGCATGAGTGGAAGGGTGTGGAGAATATTGGTAGGAGGAAGAAAGAAAAGCCTGTCTTAGGAAGGTATGGCGTGGTACTTTTCCATCTGGTGCCCCCTCCGTGATCCCTCCGCAGGGTTGAGGGCTCAGAAACCTGGAAGAACATTGGAATCTCGCTGTAGGAGACCTGAACTTTCCTATCTTCACACATTGAACCAGCTGCATTTTAAAAAGGGAATTTAGCTGCGCTGCCCTCGCCTCAGCTCATCCTGCTGGGAAGATGACAGGTACCAAAATAAGCAAACAGTATTAGCTGGAGGAGAAGACAAGATTCGTGTCACCTGGAGGCTGGCCAGCGTGACCTTGAAGAACTGAGGACGGATCCTATACTTGAATCTTTCCTACGATGTCATAACCTACGGAGTCCCCGAAAATGGCACAGGGGTCATGTAGGGGAGAAACAGCCCTGTAGTTTGACAGTCTTGGCTGTATCATGGCTCTGTGTGCTGACTGTGTGACCTTAGACAAGTTATTTGAAGGTGGCCTCAGTTTTCTTATGTATAAAATGCGTATACTACCTAATTTGTAAGACAGTCTTGAGGATTATCCAGACAAATTGGTGTGCAAGGTGTATTAGATATTGTTCTAATTGTTAGCGTGTTCACAGAGATATCACCAAAATAAAATACTTTGAGGAAAGTCTAAAGGGTCACTTGGTGGTTCAGGGGACCTGAAATACAGCAGCTCCCACAAGCCTTGCCCATGAGGACGACATGGGGTAGATCTGCATGCATTAGCATTCACATTGGCTCCTGCAGTGGGCTTATGTGTCACCAGGGTCCTTTCATATAAGCAATGGCCCCTCCAGCCGAGAGAAGACCCACAGACCATGAATGGGCCGTGCAAGCCCATTTGAGGAGGAATAGGAAATGGGTGTGAACTGATGCTCACGTTTGTCTAACTTCACACATCATGCGTGTTTTCTACAATATCGGCATCACTGTTAAATCCACTCGTGGAACTTAATTTGCCAAACCCTAGCATACACCTTTAGTAGCTGTTATCCCGCATTGGAGCAGCTGCTCAAAAATATTTCAAAAGCACAACTTACTTTTCCACTTGATTTCTGTAGCTGTAGCTGATCGAATTCCAGAAGTTTCTTCCAGTCTTGGCGTTTGACAAAATAGAAGACTTCTTCATACGTGAGATCGATGCGGTAGTTGAAATCCCCGCACCAAAACACGTAATCGTGAGAGAAAATATTTCTTCCCTAAATTGTAAAGAAAATCATGATCAAGGCCGGCTGTGGTTGAGTGGTTAAAATTCTGCACGTTCCACTTTGGCGGGTTCGCGGGTTCCAATCCCGGGTGTGGACCTACCGCACTCGTCAGCCATGCTGTGGAGGTGTCCCACATACAAAATAGAGGAGGACTGGCACAGATGTTAGCTCAGGGCTAATCTTCCTCAAGCAGAAAAAGAGGAAGATTGGCAACAGATGTTAGCTCAGGACTAATCTTTCTCACCAAAAACAAAAGAAAGAAAGAAAATCATGATCATTCTGGCCCATCTTGCAAGGAAGGTGGGAGGGGGAGAAAAAATGGCTCACTATGCACATGACAAGCAGAGGTGTTTTTCTTAAAATGCTACTTTAAAAAAAAAAAAAGTCTTCTAGACCAACTCAGTTTTCACTAATCCCATAAACCTACTGAGTAACTTTTACATGGCTTACATTTTATTCTTATTTTTATTTATTTATTTCTTTTTGGAGGAAGATTAGCCCTGAGCTAACATTCAGGACAGAAGGTTAAAACGATCACAGCCAAATAAATGAGTGTGTGGAGCAGCGTGTCTAACAGAACTTTCTGCAGTGATGGAATCACCCTTCATCTACGCTGTCCAAAATGGAAGCCACCCGCCACGTGTAGCCACTGAGCACTTGAAATGTGGCCAGCGCAAACAAGGATTTTGTGTCTTAATTTTAATTAATTTAAATGTAAATGGCTACTTGTGGCTAGTGGACAGCACAGGTGTAGGGTATTAACTTATAGGTACCCTCAATATTTCTGTTGTTGAAAAAAGGAGCTGTATTGTAAGCCCAGAGCCCTCTAAATATTTTGAATGTGTCCCAAGTTTACTATTTCAAAACAGCACTTGTTAAATAAGAAGGGTTGGACATTTTTTTCTTAACTACATAGACACAAATGCACAAAGAAAACATGTGTGATGTCCTACATAATCTGGAAAACGATAATTTGCAACTTTCCCAGCTCACTCGTTTGTTTCTTCTTTAATACAAGAAATTTAAAACTACCTCCAGGATTATCACCTTAGGAATGAAAACTAAAGAATTTTTTGCCTGGAGTGCATGTGCAGCCTAGTACCTAGGACATCAGTGTTAAGGGACCTGGCTCACACGGGAGAGCTCCAGGACCCAGCCAACCGTGTCAGATACTGGCAGAATATGTGGCAAGAAGAGCTGGAATCTACCCTCGCTTCTGGGAAACAGGTGGCTTGCACCAGGCTGAAGATGTGCGAGCCGTCATCTTTGCACAGCAAAGAGAACATTCAAACCTGAAATTGAAAAGAGAATCTGCCGGCTCCAGAATGGAAACCTCTGATCACCACTAGAGGGCGGTGTGATGCACGTTATTGGCAACGTTTAGACAGGTGGGAGCACCCAGGGCTCTCCAGTCATGAAATCAGATTTGAAAAATGGTTTTTTGTTTTTGTTTTTTGGTGAGGAAGACTGGCCCTGGGCTAATATCTGTTGCCAATCTTCTTCCTTTTTTTCCTCTCTTTCTCCCCAAAGCCCGAGTACATAGTTGTATATCGTAGTTGTAAGTCATTCTAGTTCTTCTATGTGGAATGCCATCACAACATGGCTTGATGAGCGGTGCAGAGGTCCACGGCCAGGGTCCAACCCAGCAAATCCCGCGTCGCCGAAGTGGAGAGTGCAAACTTAACCACTCGGCCACAGGGCCACCCCGAAAATGGGCATTCTTAGCTGAACCACAAGAGAATGCATGTGTGAAGGTTGTGAATCTCAAGAAAATTGAGTCTTACACTGTTTGGATTCAAATGTTCCTCACTAACTTGGACAAGGCATGGACACATTGGTTTTCTTTCCCCACCCCACTCCCTTGAATTAGAAAACTGGAAAAAGCACATGAGAAAACGTAGGATGCATAAGGGCACTCAGGAAGCATATTGAGAAGAGGGACTCCCTGGGCTTACCTCTGTTGCACCATCCCAGGTCATCTCCTCTCCCCCAGTGTGAGCCCCAAGGGCAGGGACGCCCCCACGGAGGATCCCCAGTGCCTGCCCATATTAGCAGCTCAAAACTCATGGGTGGGGCTGAACCGGCAGGAGCCAGCTGTCAGCGGCGCTGGCCGCCACGGGCTCACCGTCGGGAAGCTCAGCTTCTGGGTGATCTCCCTGTAGTCCTCGTTCCTCTCCTTCACCTGGGACTGCCCGGCCGTCAGGTGGCTGCACACGAAGCAGAGGCTGGTGCTGTGGAGCTGAAAGCGGATGCCCACGGCACCTTTGTTTCCTGCCTTCCCTCCCATGCCGGTCTTCACTGTGTCGATCGCCACATCCCTGGAACAGAGAATGCACACACAGAGCTGGCTTCTTAGTGGCTCCAAAGAGAAAGCATCTACAGAGACGAGCCGGGCAGCGGCATGAGGCTTGCGGCTCTGAAAACTCCAAACCCATCAGCTCAGAGGCTGTTTCACCACGTCCTCAGCGGCCAGGCCACAGAGACCTGCGTGCCCACCATCCACTCTGTTGTCCCTCCTGACATCCTTCCTCTCACTGCCGGTGGCTTCCTTGTAGGGGGTTTGCAGAATCAGCCCCACGGCCCCAACGCTGAAGGGCTCTGCACTTACAAAAGTGCCCCCGAGGCCCCCGTGGAATCACCTTCATCCTTGCTTTCCACTTCCTCGTTCCAGCTGTCGCTGCCAGCAGAGGCGGCACAGACATCACCACCCCCCACCCCGCCCCACGCCATGCGGCTTTACTGCAAAGCACAGGAGGGGTCTTCAGGGAATCTACTCATTTCAAGACACAGGAAACCTCCAGTTATTTACGCTGGGCTGGGTAGGTGGTTTCGATGCAGACTCCTGCTCGTGTGAAAATGCCAACTTATAATGCATACGGGTGAATGTGTAGGTGCACAGGACCACGGGCTGAAGCCCAGACTGAGGCCCACACCTGCGCCTAGGACTACCACCTGGCAGACAGGTGAGGGGGTAACTGGCCAACTGGTGTGCGAGCTAAATAAGCTGGAGGTTGCAGGAGCGAGAGGCCGAGGACACAGGCGTCCAGGACCTGAGGCAGCGTCTGGGAAATCCAGGGCTCCTCAGCATCGCGCCCTTTCTCCCATCATCTCTAACCTCCGCCCTAACCTTCCCTCACTCTAACCTTGGCTGACCTTCACCCACTCGCTTCGGACACCGCCATGCTGCCATCGTAAAGCAGCAGGGGGACAGGGACGTAAACATTTTCCCAAAGTCACAGAAGAGGATTATGAACACAGAGCACAGTCTTGCTCTCCAAGTGCTGCCATGGGCACACCTGCAGCCCTCTAAACATGCACAAGTGTTTCACTGGGAGGAGGGAAGGCTGGCTCAGCACCTGGTATCGGCAATGAGAAAAATGGGAGGAAATTCTAATGACAGGAATGAGACCAGACAGCAGTTTTAGATTGTGAGACAGTTGAGGGAAAAGGTGAGTCCCCCTCAAACCTTAAAACACACACACACACGCACTCATGCGCACACACGCATGCACACACATATGCACACATATGCATACACACGCACTCACGCGCACGCACACGTATGCATACACATATGCACTGATGCACATACATGCACATCCTCTCCTGCAAGAACACAAATTTCCTAAGGTTTCCCCTTTCTGACATTCACAAAGCTGTCACTTCAGAGACACAGTCATGGGTGACAGTGGCAGAGGCTTTCTGCCCACACATCTTATTTAGAATTCTTTTTAAAAGAGATGAAAGAATTGGCATTTCCTGATGAGGTAGTCAGCTCTTAGTCAGAGGTTTCCTGTCTAAAATTTCAACAAGGAACCCCTTTCCTCGTGCAAAACTGAGCTTGAGGGACAACGGTCATGAAACACTCCGTCTAAGAGTTGAGCTTCCTGAGCTAGAAGGTTCCCACTGTGGCTTTTTAATCGCTAGACAATATGCTATTCAGCCCAGTTTTTTCTTGGGGGTTTTGTTACATTTAGCTAGAATAATGGCAGGTTCTGATTCCTATTGTGGAAGGCGAGGAGGAGGAGGAAGTCAGAACAAAACAGCAGGACGAACAATCCCGCGTTCCCCCAGATGTTCGCAAACTAAATGTTCTTACCTGATGAATGGGACATGGTACGGACGCACGAAGATATAAAGACAGACGCCCACCAGCTGTGCTGAAGTCAAGAGAATGTACCTATGAGACCGTGAGATGGCTTTCTGAAGCTGCTCACCCCACATCTTCCTGTTGGTGGTACTGGAAAAGAAAAGAAAAGAATGATGCCGTTTACAGTGAGCTGGAAGTGGGCTCTCCCACCGACAGATTCCTCCGGCTCTTGGTTTATTCTTTTCACAGAACTGATTGTGTACTGCCTGCACTCCCACGTAAGCATCACACCTTGATTCCTGCAGTGGACTATCTATGTATTTCTGGTTGTGTCGCAGACATCACAGCACATACCCCGCCCCCAACCCCCACCTGAAACCCAGCTAAGACCTCACTCACAAGAGCTCCAAAGAGTCAGGTTTTATTATTTGTTCATAAAGTTCCTTGAAATAAAGCTGCACCAGCATTATTCACAATAGCCAAGACATGGAAGCAACCCAAGTGCCCATCAATGGATGAATGGATAAAGAAGATGTGGTATATATATCCAATGGAATACTACTCAGTCATAAAAAAAGACAAAATTGTCCCATTTGCAACAACATAGATGGACCTTGAGGGTATGACGTTAAGTCAAATAAGCCAGACAGAGAAAGACAAACACCATGTGATTTCACTCATATGTGGAAGATAAACAAACACATGGACAAAGGGAATAGATTAGTGGTTACCAGAGGGGAAGGGGGTCGGGGCAGGGTGAAAAGGGTAAAGGGGCTCATATGTATGGTGATGGATTAAAAACTAGACTATTGATGATGAGCACAATGCAATCTATGCAGAAACTGATATATAATAACATACACCTGAAATTACACAATGTTATAAACCATTATGACCTCAATAAAATAATTTTAAAAAAAAGAGCTGCACCAGTTTAGGGAAAAAGCTCCAGTTGACCTTATACCTAATGTTAACCCAGTGGCTTTCTTTCCTTTGTACGTGCTGGAGAGAAGAGAAGTACCTCCTCCCCACACTCATGCTTTCTCACCTTTGCCCAGGTAACGTGAGTCAGCGCCCTCCCAGCCTGGCCCTCGGCCCACGCCCTCCAGGCTCACATGCCCCAGCTCACAGCGTGATGACCTCCATAAGTGTACCTCCTATAGAGCGATAACCTCCCTTCCTTCTGTTTCCTTAATTAGCAGAGAAGAAGGAACGCGGAGGTGCGTATCTGTGCCTAGGAGGGAGGAGCCCAATCAGAAGTATCCAGACATCGAGGGTCACAGGTTACTGGATTCTGATGCAGGACTCCGGGGCCCTGCTCCTGGCCAGGCACCGGCTCAGGAAACCCTCAGGTGAGTTTCACAGCACCATCCTGCACCCCCCGCACCTGGCCACTTACCTGGCATTGACAATATTCCCTGCGCTCAGTTCCACCATCTCTTCAAACCCCACGGCAAATATGTCAGCTGGGCTGCTGTCATCTGGAGAACAAGGCAGGAAATGAAAGAAATCAGACTCCCTAGGGACTGTGTCACGTGACTCATGGGCACCACATTGTCTATGAGCCCCGCTGTCCCACTGCCCAGTCCACTCGTCCACGGGGCACTGTGTGGACCTGCCCTGCGCCTCCCGCTGTGCACACGGCCTTTCCCAGTCTCCATCCTGGGGCACGGGGCTGACCTCTCCGAACCCCTGCTTCTTTCCCTGCCTCCCCCCATTATCCTGTTGGTCCCTCTTCCTTCCTGAGAACTTCCATGTGCATCAGACCCTAAGTTACTTGGGGTGGCGCTGTCTCCTACTCGTCTGTGTCCCTCGAGGGCCCAGCCTCGCCCTGTTAAGGACTGACTGTGGTTCTGTCCCAGGGGACTGCTGTCCTGGGGTCAGAGAAGGGAAGGCCCAGCCCTGCTGGGAACCACTGATGAAACCTGCTCCAGAAACGCCTGCTTTACAGGAAGCACAGCAAGCCAGGAGGCATTCCTCATCCCTCCTCTCTTTGTTCCCTTCAACAAGGAAAGTTAGGATCTAACATAATCCCAGCAGCCATTTGCCGCCTCTTTCTAGTCTCGTCCTCCTGATGCTCAGCTGTCTGGGCCATGAAGCCCAGCCATGGTCCCAACTGTGGCAGAAAGTGACACCCTCCCTTGCCGACTCCATCGGGAAAGGCCAGGGTGTCCACCTGCTCACACGAGGCAACCTGGTCAACTTAACTGAGGCTTAGAGTTTCTTTTCTTTTTTTTCAAGAAAAAATATCTGTTCCTCTGATCTGCCTGGCGACACATATGCCTTCCTTCTCCCGCGTCTGGTGAGTTTCTAGTGGGAGCAGAGGCAAGCCCACAGTCCCAATAAAATTCCCTGCAAAGGAACAGACAGCTTGCTATTGCCACCCACCCTGTGCCTGCCGGCGAATGAAGAGGAGTCACTTTATGCAAAAAGGCGAGGGAAGCTCCAGCCACAGTTACGCTAAAGATCTCACATTTACAGGGCCTGCTCCGGTGGCCATCCAGAACGGTCACCCCCAACACAGAGAGAGAATCCCAATGACTCCAAGCTGTGGATGTGAGCCACTTCCCCGCCGGGACAGCAAGAGGGGTGTGGACAGCACATGCAACAGTGGGGGACGAGGCTCTGGGCACCAGTGAGGACGGCTGTTAAGAATGAGAGGCTCCTGTAAATCCACAGGCAGAGAACCGAATCACAAGTCTCTTCCAGAATCCAAGGAAGCCAGGAAAAGCAAGGCCCCTGGGTAAACGCTCCCTGGGGAATCATTTATTCTTCAAAACACGAGTTCTGAGGCTATTAAATATTAGCTTGCATGATATAAGATAAAGGGTGAGGTGTCAAATTTGGAATTATTTTATTCTGAAAAGGTACACAGATTCTTTCACGACTACTTAAAGTGGACATATACAGTCATAGAGTCGGTTTGGGAAATGGCAGGGAGATGTTCCTGGTCAGTAGCAAGATGAAAGGAACGCCCGCCCAGCTCCTTAGGGTGACACGGCTCCAGAAGCCGCATCGTCCTCCTTATGACAAAAAGGTTCTCATGATCAAAACCTAGAACTGCGAAGTCTCTATATGTGAAGAGAAAAGAGAGATTTGCCACTCTGATAACCCTTCCAGACATTCGGAAAAGAGAAGGCACCAAAGAGTTAACTGGCCAGAGAGTCTTCTGGAAAGTTAGACCACGACACCCTTTAAACATTCCGAGGAGTGAGAACACCAAATACCAAATTTCACAGGTCCACGGCTGTGGCAAAGGTCAGACCTGAGGGCCCCACTGGATCTTCACTTTGCTGTCACAGAAGCACCCGTGCTCACCCGGGGATTCCTCGGCTCCGGAAAGCGTGGGCGAGTCGAGCAGCCAGTCGGCCAGCTCCGCTGTCCCCAGGAGGTTGCTCCTGAACTGCTTGCCCCCGTTCACATTCCAGGTTCCCATGGCAATCCGGAGCCGCTTGAAATGTGTGAATTCCGACTGGCGCTCCGACATCGCTCTCAGGACCCTGGGAGTCACTGCAAGGAGGCATAAAAAGGGTATGTTGGCCTGCACTCCAAATCTCCATGCATCCCCCAAAACATGGATGGGGTTCCCTGTCGGAGAGAGAGGAATTTACGATCTTAGAGATATGGGCCGGGCTATGCTCCTTATGCAGGTGACAACCTCCATAAGCAGTACACCACCCTGGGGCATTTTTGTCACAAAGTCCTGAAAACACAGAGATGTTCCTCCCTTGGCACTCTTTCCCCACCTGCAGCCACAGAGGCTGTGACATCAGATCACAGGCAATATTGTCCTTAGCAGTCACTCCATGGTCCAGTGGGAATTTAAGCAACAGGATACCGCAACTCAGTGTATTTCAAAATATATATAAAACTTTAAATGTCTTACACCCGTCTTGGCATCTTCCATCTTGCATGCCTGAAATGTTTTGTTTTATCTCAGACTCAAGCCTTTAAAAAATCATTACTCTGAACCCTGTCCATACCCTAGATATCCAGAATATATTCCATTTTTTTAAACTAGCAATTTAACCCAAATCTAAATCCTCTGCCTTGCTACTAAGTAAGACTCATTATACTTCTCAGAGCTCCTCTCAGCTTTAGTGGGCTGACCTGATTTCCAGGGCAGACACCAATATCACCTTGGCTATTAGAAGCCAAGTAAGAGGTTCATCCAATGACAGAAGAAAGAGAGGAGAAAAGGGCCATGAAACCATTTTAAATGTGGGCAATCAATTTTTCAAAAAACACCAAAAATTTCTGAAACAAAACTTATACATTCTTATAAGGAAAAAAGTTAGGTCTCCCCTTCTTTTCCATTCGCCCTACAATGTTCACAGGCTCTAGGGGATAAGATGCTATTAAAATGTTCCCAAAGAAACGCTAGCTCCCTTCTAAGTGGAATCTAAAACAACAACAAAAAACTGAACCCACAGAACAGAGAACAGATTGGCGGTTGCGAGAGGTGGGAGATGGGGAGGGGGTGAAATGGTGTAGGGGGTCAAAAGGTACAAACTTCCGGTAATAAAATAAATTAAGTGCTGGGGATGTAACATACAGTGAACAATACTGTATTGTATATTTGAAAGTTGCTAAGAGAGCAGATCTTAAAAGTTCTCATCGCAAGGAAAAAAATTCTAACTGTGTGGTGATAGATGTTAACTAGACTTATTGTGGTGACCGTCTACCGGTACATACAAATATTGATTCATTATGTTGTACACCTGAAACTCATAGAATGTTGTACGTCAATTACACCTCAATTGAAAAAAAAAAGAACCACTAGCTATTACGGAATCATGACAGTCTCAGCCCCAAGACCACAGGGTGTCCTCATCCCAGGGACGGCCATGTCCTTCTGCCTCCTCCACTTTTACAGGGTTCTGGGGCCTTGACAGAAACAGGAGGCTGCTCTCATGAGACTCCCAGAGACAAATGGGACCAGGAACACATTCAGGCTGAGAAAGAGGTTCCGGTGTGAGTTAGCATTCAAAGAAATCGACGCAGACTCCTGCAGAGTCCTCTCGGCTTCTCCCCTCCTCCGGGCTTGAAAAAACAGTCCAAACTAAGAAAGTACAAAAGCGGGCTCCCACTTGAGGCCAGAAAGCATAGGCTCCTGGGAAATACAGTGACAGCTGGTATTGTATATATATTTTTACTTTCTGTATGCTATGATGTTTGACATCTTAAAAAACCTTTCTGGCTGGGGAGACACGGTCCTTCCCGGTGCTAGCCAATTCCTAGACTTAGCCAAGAGCGTGGTGTGAATGTGCAAACGAACCAATCCTGAGCCACACCTCCTCTGCGGGCCCAGACTGTGGAGGCGATATTCCTCTGCCTTAATCAATCGTAGGACCAGGTACCATCCAACGAAAGCCCACCCCTCTACCCCAAAGCCCACCAGAATTATTCAAACTGCCAATCCTAAGCTGTTGATCCTGTCCCGCCTAGCCCACCAAGTCCCAGTAAAGGAAACGCCCCTCGCTCCTGCCTCCTGAGCACCCTGGGTCTTTCATGTGGCCCTGCGTGCTGTGCCAGCCCCCATCTCTAGGACCTGTGAGTATAATCAGCTTTGTTTTTGCCTGAGCCCCTCCTCTGCCTCCTCTCGTGGTTGCATATGACTGACCACCTCATAAAACGACATAAAACACAGCTGCAAGCTGCTTAGGCCAACCGGTCAAGCTGAAGACGCGGGCTAGAAAAACACAGAAACTCCCTCCCTCTGCCCTACAGCTCAGGGGAGTGTCTGCCACTGCCATCTGGGATTCCATGAGGAGGGGCGGGAAGGGCTGGCTAGCACCCCCACCCCTCTATGCCCTCCGGATGGCAGGGCAGCTGCACGCCTCTGTGCAAGCGGAGCGGAGGCCCCCTTACCCAGCAGGGCTGTGTTGTCCAAGAGCATCCTTCCCTTGTCAGCAGCCTCCTCGGCGTAGACGTCCCCAACCAGCAGCAGCTTGATGGCCTCCTGCTTCACACCATCAAAGAAGTTGGACTGGATAGTGCGAGACACAGACCGGGCCCCATCCTTCAGCTTCCCCACCTGCCAAGAGCCAGACCACAGGCTGTGAGAGGGGTCCGCGCAGACCCCCGCCCGCAGCCCGCGGCCGGCCCCTACCTTGGCCTTCCCTTCCAGGGCCCGGCTGCCCGTGAACATCTTGCTCAGGCTGTGCCCGTTCAGAGACCACATGGCTTTGAAGGCCTCCACGAAGCGGTCAGCGATGGGCTTTGAGTTCAGCCCTAGGCTCTCGAGCTGCAGATGAAGGACCTGCATGAGAAGTAAGGGACCCTTGTCACTAATTCTCGCCCGGAAGCTCCCCGACAGCTGCCTTGGGGGAACGTCACCAGGTGCCATCCCAGTGAGTTCCTTTCTCAGCAGATGGTGGATTACTCTGTGCCCCTCCAGGGGACAAGGAGTCCTTGCAGCAGAGAACGGGCTTCCCCCCACAACGCACCCCAACTTTAAATTGTTGTTCCACCCAGCCCTCCTCTGACCCCCCCACTCCTGACCCCTCTGCCCCCACTACCAGAGGGCTGGACAGCAAGCAGGGGCAGAGGGCAGACAGCGCTGACCCCAGCCCAGCAGTGCGCCAGGCGAGGTCACCCAGGCAGCAGGCCACTAGACAGACTCAGGTCTCTGTCCCAGGCTTCAAACCCAGCCTCGACTCAGCCAGCCTCACGGCGCCTTTGCCCAAGGGAACAATCATTCCACAGAACTGTTCCTCCTCAAGGTGGCACCTGGCACCTTTGGGCCATCGCGTCTGGGATGCATTCCAAAAAGGGTGAAAAAGTGTGCCTGTGACGGGTCAAAGGCATATTGGGGCACAGGCAAGCCAGCCACCCAGGAACACCTCTCTCCAGATGCCCGGCACATCCCCGTCCCGCCTCCCCACAGTCAGAGAGTCAGCCCAGCAACGCCACCCTCATCTTGCTGATGAAGGCGCACAGCCCAGGCCCTGCGGGAAGCACAGGACACGACACAGCTGGCTCGAGGGGCCGCGGCGGGGACAGACCTCGAGCGCGATGAAGCTCTGCACTGTGTTGGTTCGGTCCAGGCAGTCGAGACAGTTTATCCGCAAAGTGCCTCTCTGAAAACTTAGGAAAACAGGAAATGCAGATGGTTACGAGTTACGTTCGAAGGAGCAATGGCCGTAGCGCGATGGCCTATGTTTGACTGTAGACTCCTAAGGAAACGCATATCAAAACTCACCTCCTCCCTGATAGCCCACCAGAACCCCCAGAACACATCCTGATGGACCCCAGCATCCCGATGGGCCTCAGCATCCCGATGGACCCCAGCATCCCGATGGGCCCCAGCATCCCGATGGACCCCAGCATCCCGATGGACCCCAGCCAGCATGCCGATGGGCACCAGCATCCCGATGGGCCCCAGCATCCCGATGGACCCCAGCCAGCATCCCGATGGACCCCAGCATCCCGATGGACCCCAGCCAGCATCCCGATGGGCACCAGCATCCCGATGGACCCCAGCATCCCGATGGGCCCCAGTGTCCCGATGGGCCTCAGCATCCCGATGGACCCCAGCATCCCGATGGACCCCAGCCAACATCCCGATGGGCGCCAGCATCCCGATGGACCCCAACGTCCCGATGGGCACCAGCATCCCGATGGACCCCAGTGTCCCAATGGACCCCAGCATCCC